AATTTTTATTCCAGTTTTTGGAGATTCAAGAATATCCAATTATGAATATTTAAAGGAAGGAAATAAAATGGCTAATGCTGGATTTCGTTTATATGCATATTCTTGCATCTAAAATTGTTTTTTATGTTAATTTGGAATTAGCTTGAATGCAATCCTTTATATAAATTATCATCTAATTAAAGAATTTTCATTAGAATTGATTATGACTAGAATGGATAAAACTTTAATAATTGCTATCATATCTGTTAACAGAAAAATATATGAATCACCATAAGCAGTGGAAGGAAGCTAAGAAGAGGAGGAAGTCTTAATAATGAATGCTTGTCTCTTTGTTTACAATGTGCAGATTAGCATTCTTGTTTATAATGGAAAGTTAATTTTAAATTACAAAATAAATAATGCTTACAAATTTGTGATGAATGATGTCATTATTTAAAATATGAGGAATGTGAAAATGGAAATAATGATCCATAAGATGAGTTTTATTAATGTCAATTGCAAAATTTCATTTGGGATGTATAAATTATGAAATAGGTAATATTTCTACGAAAATGTGATAATTTAAATATTTCAAATAATGAAACTGGAAAATGTGTAGAAGGAAATATTAACGATGATAATTAATTTACTTAGGAGAATAATAAAACCCAACTTGATTTTAGGAATATAAAATCAATCTCAGCTGGTAATTAATGTGGCAATGGTAGACTTAATAATAATTACGAATTATGTGATGAAGGGAATAAAGTTGGAGTTGATGGATGTTCAAGCATGTGCTTAATTGAAGATATCTGAAACTATAAAAATAATTCTCTCAAACCAATGCTTTCCAAATACATTATTGTAATTAACTTATTTAAATCATAAAAATTCTTAATAATATATTGAATTATCTTTTATTAATTACCTTTTATTGATTGCTTTCATATTAAATTATCAACCAAAGATTAGAGTGTCTCCATTAAAGAAGTTTACATAGATAATAATTTCCTTTTTATTATAGTTGTGATTAGCTAAACAGTCTAATCTATTTCGATATATGAAAAATAAATTGAATTTCATGATTCAATAATTAATCCAAAATTATCATTATCTTTCAATTCAAAATTAAATGATATTAATATTTTTGAAGTGAGTATCATTAAAAAAATATCACACTTTAATTTATTATAAATTTGAATAGTATTTAGAAGAATGCTGCAGTTAAATTTATAATTTTGGCTTTTGGATGATGATT